CTGCCCGTTGTGATAGGAAACGATATTGGAAAACTGCATGATGTAAGCGGGTCACTCACCCTGTTTAATCTTGTCTTGCTGTCACTCTCTCATACTAAGTTTGCGGATTTGTGCACTGCAGTATAATGAAAAACAATTTCCCCTTTTATTTCAAGCGAATCATTCTATTTCACAATGTCTAATGTGCGAGTTTGAAAGATTACACTGCCCACCCCCTGGAAAAGCTGTTGCTTTGTCAGAAGCCTCTGGTAATTACATGACTGAAGGCTCCAGGCCATATTGTGGACACAATTTTGATCTTGATTAAGAGCTGTGTACTCTGAAGTCTGCTTCAAAACAACAAGGCTATAGGTATTGTGTTCTGAGCTGTTTGTCAAACTTAAAAGGGTATATAGAATGAGCTTCTCTTTCTTTAGCAAAAGCAGCTGTGGAGGCCCTGGGATTCTGGCCAGGGTGGGGAACCAAATCTGTCCTTTTGACTCACCCTCTGTAGTTTCCAGATGTCACCCTCCTTCCCTGTAGTGGCTGGTGGCCCCAGTGTTAGTGGAGCAGTGTATCCACTCTGGGTTTCACACTGAACTTTAAAGAAGTAGTCGATAATGTTGAACCTATTTTGGAAATAGGTTTTAGCACTACAGCTAGCTCCTTAAAAGTTCAGACCAAAGCCTAGAGTGGATACACTGCTCCACTGACATTGGGGTCACCAGTCTTCAATGACTCATTTCCTTTTGTACAGCACCCCACCACCACCATTTGAAAAGTTTGTGATGCCTTCCCCAAGGCTTAGTTGCTAACAGTATGAACTACAATAAATATGTATATTTTGTAGTTATCCCTGCCCTTTGGTGTTAGCTCCTCCCACCACTAAAATGTATCCCTCAAGAGCTTGTCCCAAATCATATTTGAACCCCAGACTGAGCAAATTTCCCTGTCTTTGGTCTATGGCATGAGTGAGGGAGGGAACTCATACACCCATTTCATTTTCCCATCCAGAATGAAAACCTAAAATTATTTATCCTGGAAAGTGTAGGAGTGGCATTTTGCTACACCTACATCATTTTGTGGCTCTGATTCTCTGGATGCCTGCATGAAAGTCCAGAGGTTCAGGTTTATGGGACAGATTTGGTCTGCCCCTCTGATGCAATGAGTGAATTACGTGGGACAAGGATAGTTTGTAATTTTGCCCTGCAGCTTTGATCCTGGGAGTCCAGTGCACATAACCACTTTCATTTCATAAAATGTTGGTGGCCACTGTGGGACTTGGCCCTTCTAGTGAATTTGGTCATCCTGAATTGGCCATGCAAAGGCCTCCACACATAGGACTGGACTGTGGCTCAACTTGATGACCTTCCATCTATTTTGAAGTTCACTGCATTTTAGGACATCAGAAGCTGCCATCTTGACATGTGTTGGAGGGTTTATAAGACCGTTTCAGCAACTTAACATCAGTGACCATTGCAACACATCAGCCTCAGCATATGTCTTTTAAAAATTTATTTTCTGAATCATGTGCTTCTGCCATCTAACTCACATGCTGGCTAAAATGGGTTTACAGCCATCTCTTATTCATCAGTGTAAATGCCCTGTATTTACACGGCAGAAAGAGAGAGAGGAAGGTCACTCCACATTGTTCTTGGCCACATGTTAGAGAGATTCCATAATGAGGCAAAGAAAGATATTCAGCATAGGTGGGCAGTCCAGGGCCAAGCAGAAGCAAACCCTGTTCACTGAAGGGAGCCCCACAGTCCTCCAAACTCAGGAGATTAAGGGCATCCTAGGTAGGCAATCTCTGCCTCCACACTCCTTACCCCTGCAAGTCAACCAGATGGCCGATTTCAGCCACCTAGCAGCATCTCGCCTCAGATGGGGAAGGAAGGAGGCTCAAGCACCATCGGGATGTCACATCCTGGCTGCCACAGGCTTCTCCTCTGCTCATACCCTGGAAAGCACCCTTTACCCCTCTCTCAGGTTGCTCTTACAACCTCGAGGAAACAGCTGGCATGGTTCTTTCCACACTGGCTGCAAGTGCAGGGGAGGATCTGAGAATGGATCATCAGCTCCAAGGTTGGAGGCCTTTTCCAACCTTGGATCTGGGAATCTAAAAAACACTGTAGCCCCTGTTTAAGAGCCATAGGATTCTTCTGCCCTTTTTCGTGTGTGGTGGGAGAGGGAAGCAGACCTCTAGGGCTCTCAGTATTACAGCTACATTATCCTCCATTACTGCAGTTGAGCAATAGTTGTTGCAACCAACTACTCCCAGATGGAGCTGCATATCCCAGAATGCATCTTATTGGAAGCCATCCCGAGGCTCATGCAAATGGGACAGCATACAAAAATTCCAAATAAATAAATGCATCTGGCCAGCCCAGTGGGGCCTGCAGGATGTGCAGACATGCATATCCACATTTACATGTTCATCACCTGTGTAGGGGGGCAGACATTCCCTGAACCCTGTGGGATAGGAGTGCCTGTCTTTCTACTAGCAGCTGATGGATGAGAGGAAGAATTCGAAGACAGTGTTGCAGTACGGGAGTAGCAGGGGAGTAATTACCTTGCTTTGGGTATACATAGTCTTTTCTTTGTGCATACATATAATTAGCCTGGGTGCTGTCCCATAATATGCACAGGTTGTTTCTAACCATCTCTATCTCCATCTCCAAACAGCTCTCTAAAGCTCTAGCATTATGTAAGTACATGCATTGGCAGGAGCCAAAGATTGTTGGGAGAGCCAGGGAAGCTCAGAGTGTGCCACACTTCTCCAGACGTCACTTCAGTGTGACTCACTCCTATTCTCATTTATGATTTGTTTGTTCGAAAGGGAAAAGCAGGCCCTTTTTCTTAATTGATCAAATAATAAAAATGTGATTTTTTAACAGTGCCTTTTAAAAAAGTGCACATTCTTTGGAATTCAAATGCAAGTTTGGGAATTTGTGAACATTTTCAGAGATCCCATGCTCTTGCTTTTGGAGTTGTGAGCAAAGCACATCAGAGTGATTTGCAAACTTAAATGAAATTCTTGTACATGGCTAGAACCAAGAAGTGAGGCACACAGAGGATGGGAATCTGCTGAAGCATCTCTTGAGAAACAGCCATATCATAACTTCAGTATGATACTGTAAGAGTCTTATCCTTATACAGATATTTTTAATAATGGCACCATTAGGAAAGGTGGAGGGCAGCTGATGCTTTCTGTCAGCCTGGTTAGTTTGATCTCCGCATGGCCATCTGCTCATTGACCCAAAGCTGACTACCACTCAGTTCTCCTTCTCCAGTCCTCTTGCTTGTCCTCATATGTTAACAAAAACTAGTTTCCACCGGAACTTTGAAGAAGAAAGTTCTTTATCAAGCAACCTACCTCAGCTGGAAATCTCTGTGGAGATAATTAGTACTCATCCCATCAGCTTTCTCCACCAATGCCATTGTCTTCTAATGATCATTTTCTGAGACCAAGGGTAGGATGATATACGGGGTGGAGCGAAGGCAGCCTCCAGTGATCTACTTGTTAAGCTTTTATCAGTGAGGTAACATGAAAAAACTATTTTTACAAGGACTTTTCTAAGAAACCAGGCAGAACATTCAGGTACAGAAACTGCTAGTGTGTGATGCCCATTTGATGGTTTTTCATGGTACGTGTATCATTAACCAGCCCAGCTGGGATTCTTTTATAATCACACTTCTCTTGACATTTATCTCTGGTGGCTTATTGCACCTATTAAAACCACATTGTGAGAACTTTTGGAAGGGGAAAGAAACTCCAAGACTTCTTTTCTTCCCTAGCTGATTTCTTTTTCCAGTGCTATCTATCTATCTATCTATCTATCTATCTATCTATCTATCTAACTATCTATCTATTTGATTTCAGTGCTGACCCACTAGCCATAGGCTCTCTGGGCAGCTTACATCATGATAAAATCCACATATACAACATAATAAGCATACAATATACAACACAATAAACTCCACAGTTACAATGAGGCCAATAACAATAAAAATCCATAAATAAACTACCAACATTAAATAAGACAAAATAAGAATAATGAAACAGATAAATAAAATGAGTATTATACAAGGGATCCAAAAATAAAACATAAACCAATTAAAATTTAATTAATATCTAGCATGTATAATAAAATTATGAAGGCAGCAGCATTTAATAGTATAAAATCTTTAAAACTTCATTAAAATCAGCAATTCACCTACTAAAATAACAATGGAACAGAAACGTCTTAAGTTGGCACCCAAAAACGAGAAGAGTAAGTGCCAACCAGACCTCCAGCCGAACTGAATTCTTGAGTTGGGTTGGTATGCTTGAAAAAGAACTTTTCCTTACAATCCCCCCACTTACTTCATCAGGGAAGAAGAGGAATGCCGAGGGGTGTACACACTCTAGAATAGGCATGTGTCCTTCAGAAGAGACAAGCCTCTATTTTAAAGGTTCCGTCCAAATCTGAACTATAAGTAGGGAAATCAGGGCCTTGATATGCCCATTCAGTGCGCACCTGGACAACAGACTTGAATACACACGCAGGAGGTCACTTGGCCAGTCTTCCCCATTATAATGAGTTGCACTACATTCTTATTAAAATAGTATAATAATTATCTCTAAATTTACATCTATGTACATCTGTTTGCATATGCCCAAAGTATGGAAATTGGTGTCCTCTTTTCTTTTACAGTGATGCCTGTCCTTTTTTTCTTTTCAGTCATGCTAGAAAGCTCACTGCTGTGCTTGTGATGGCCTAGATTGAGTGGGACGGGGGAGAGAGTGTTGTCTAATCTATCCCCTCAGTATAATCAGAGGTGGGCACTGCAATGAAGGGAAATCATTCCATTGTGAACAAAGGAGATAGCTTTCAGAGTACCACAACATAAGCAAAAATAACACAATGCCATATTGAGTCCCTGAAAATACCACTAAAAGTTATCATCTTGTAAATTGAGGTCATGGAAACTACTGAAATCAATTTTTAAAAACTTGTCTGTATGTGTTTCAGATCGAAATGCTAGAGCACAAATATGGAGGCCACCTGGTCTCTCGGAGGGCAGCCTGCACAATCCAGACTGCCTTCCGTCAGTACCAGCTCAGCAAAAACTTTGAGAAGATACGGAACTCACTCCTGGAGAGCCGCATGCCCCGGCGAATTTCCCTAAGAAAAGTCCGAGTCCAGAACTCTGAAAGCTTCTCTGCTGAGAAAGCACTTGTGGAAGGATATAACTTTGTTGGCATCCCCTTGGTGAGATCTCCATCTTTGCCAGCCACGATCAGTGGGGCACTGACTGAACTGGAGGACTCTTTCACCGAACAGGTCCAGTCTTTGGCCAAATCTATTGATGATGCTCTTAGCACATGGAGCCTGAAGACTATGTGTTCCCTTCAAGATGGCAGCTCCTATCAGATCAGAGAAACATTCAGCACCAGCTCAATGCAACCAAACCAAAACTTAGAATCTGAATTGAAGGACCAACAGAAAGAGGAAGGACTGCTGCCAGATACACTGCCAAAGAGCAGCAGCACCCTCATGATGGCCTTCAGAGACGTCACGGTCCAGATTGATAACAAGAACATCTCCGTCTCCTCATCTACCTCGGTGTCAATGGCCAACTGCCTTGCCAACAACACCCAGGCTGGGATTTCTCAAACTGCCAAAATAGAAGAAATCCCAGAGGAAGTGGGGAAAGAGGGCCAAGAGTTGCCAACTGCCCCTGAAGGGCAGCTTGATTCTGGAATCCTCCAGAATAGTCATCCAGTAACTGAGGAAAACATCAACACCAATGGCTTGGGGGAAGGGGAGGCAGAGCAAGAGCAAATGAAGCTTGCATTTGGCTCAAACAACGAGGCTGGACAAAATAAAGGCTCAGAGGTGGAAAATGTAGACAATTCAGAGCAACTGAGCAGTAGCAGCACCTCCACCTCAGCCAAGTCTGCCTCAGAGTTATCTTCCAAGGAAGCCCTGCAGGCCATGATTCTGAGCCTTCCGCGATACCACTGTGAGAATCCAGCCAGCTGCAAATCGCCTACTCTTTCCACAGACACCATGAGGAAGCGTCTGTATCGCATCGGGCTAAACCTCTTTAACATGTAAGTGGTTAATAATCATAAATCTTTTAATCCTCCACAGCTTTGTTCAATCTATGCTAACAATAGACTCTTGCAAGCAATTAGGTTAGACTCATCCCAGACATATTGCTTTTGGGTTGAGGGGTTCAGCCATCTAGGGACCAAAACCCCTATTATATTTTAGTCAGACTACTGCAATGAAGCTTTGCCAGAAATGGGAAAGGAGGAATCTGTGTTTCTGTGGCTAGCATCCTGAGCGCCATAGGCAGATCTTTGGCTGCCATCCAAGCATGCGTCTGTGTGAATAAAGGATAAATATCCCATTTAGCATCTGCGGGTTTGTTTGTATGTTTGTTTGTTTGTTTGTTTAAAAGAAAGAAAGAAATGCCTAAGTTTTCATGCATTCTTTATAGAAACTCACCCCCCTAGCCTCAGCATTCGGTCTGCTATTTTTCTTCTGGTGGGCTTGGAAAACTCGGTCCTAGCCTAAGGACGGCATTCTGTGAAGAATGACTCTAGTACTGGAAAAAGCAGAGGCACCGCAGCCCGAAAAGCTGAATCAGAGCAGCTAAAAAGTCATTCTAGATTTGTAGAGAAGGGCCTTGTTCCCCCAAAAACATTTCGCTTCTGTTCCGTCAGCCATCAGTAAACTTCAGGATGGGGCATGGGAAAGTGCCTGCTGACAGAGACTGCCTTTAGTGAGCAGCGGGGGACTGCTGGCTGGCGACAGAAGGGTCAACATGGCTGTGAGGCCCTTGCTGGGAGGAGCACTGGAGCCAGGCGAGAGAGGGTCACCCTGTCCCTTTCCCTTTTGGTCACCTACGTGTCTCCTTCTCTTCTTCTTTGCCACCTGCTGTCAAGTAGCTCTTGCCAGAGTTCTGAACTGATGAGCTTTTAAAATTAGGCTGAGGATCACAACTTCCCTACCTCTGCTTTAGGGGAATACTGCAATTTGCCCTTCTGTATTTTGTTATTGCTGCATGCATTCTATGGTCATAGCAGATAAGATGGTTACTTGTATTGACGACACCAAGATGGAACTAGAAGCACATTTTCCTACCCCCCTCCCTTCCTCCAAGGAGCCCGGGGCAGTGCATATGGGAATTTTATGCTATGAGGAAGAGGTAGATCAGACTGAGGTGATGTGACTGACTCTCAGGCATCTATTGAACTTCTGGAGTGGAGATTTGGACCCAGAATTACACAGATTGATTTGCATGACACAATAACACACCATGGTGTATTAGTGAGTTGTCTGAACCCAGCTCTCTTTCAGAGGGGTGGGTTATACAGTACATGTGGAAAATTCAGAGTTAACATGTTGTGCAAACCTACCCACTGTCTTTCATACCAAAATCAGACAAGCAAACTCCATGGAATTAAGGACAGTTTTATATTGGGAGCATTTGAATTGTTGCCACCTTAATGAAACCATGAGAAAGCTGTTTTATGCTGCATTTTGGAGAGGGAGAGTACACTTCAGCTGTGCAGCAATATAGAAAAAAAATATGTTCTCTACATAGACCGAGTCAGAAGGGGTCTCCCGGGCCATCTAGTCTGACCCCTGGCTTCAGCCAGCTCCACTCATGAAATGCCTACCATATATACTTGGACATAAGCTCCCTTGAAGACAGACTTATTTTGGGGTAAACATTTAACCCAATGCTGTTCCACAAAGAAATATCCGGGGACCTGTATTGCTGGACTAGGCCCACAGGGTGCAGGCTCCCCATCCTGCACTGTGACTTTCCTGGCTGCTTATCACTGTCCTGTAGAGAATATAGGGCAGTGATGGTGAACCTTTTAGAGACCGAGTAACCAAACTGCATCCAAAACCCACTTATTTATCTCAAAGTGCCAACACTGCAATAAAACCTGAAAACTGAGGTTTTAGTTTAGAAAAAGAAACTCACAGCCAGTCCAAGCAAATATACATATATCCTTGGCAGCACACTGACCAGCCATATGAAAGCTCGGACAAGTCACGGCTAATGAGTCACAGCTCGTGACGTCTTCGCCTGACACCGCTTCTCCTTTCCGAGCATGCCCATGGCCCCTGTGTGTGCTGTTATCTGATGCTCAGCTGCTGGGGCGATGCTGGGGCGACTTGGCTCACATGTCAACAGAGAGGGCTCTGCGTGCCCACTGTGGCACCCGCGCCATGGGTTTGCCACCACTGATGTAGGACCTTCTTTATTCTTATTCTGGCTACGTCTGTGCCTATTGTTTGGAGTCCTCTATGGCAGATCGGCAGCCCCAGATCACAAAGCTGCCTTGAGCTGCTTAGGGGAATTGGAAAAAGTAAATACAATTACTCTAATATCTAAAAATGATTAAGCCTTCCAGGATACAGCCATTCATGCAGCCCTGAATGGACAAAAGGCAAAACTGGGGTAATTTTAAAATTCAAAAGGTAGCAACCTTAGATTACATTAGTCGCCACTGACATGGCCTAAGGTTTATTCAAGCAGGAAAAAAACTTGTGCTAAATGTCTAGAGCTGGGGATATGCTACCCCTTTCCTTCACGTGTGTGTGTGTGCGTGCATGCGTGCGTGCGTGCACACACACACACACACACCCCTCTCATTTTGGATCGCAAGATCCTTTTTGTTCTGCTTTCCCCAATGGAATTAATTACCCCTTTTACAATACCCTCAGTGACAATAAAAAATAATGACTTCAGGTTGCCAAATAGCTTTAATGTTATTCCTTTTCACCAGACGGCCGGGTATGTGAGCCTTCAGTTCTAGAAAGTGCTCCCTACAGAAAAACAACTGTTATTGCTACCACGAATAAGTGCTAGGCTGCTTGGTTATATAAACCTTCCTGACAGGATTTAATAATACCAGTGGTTTACCTACAGTTATTATAAGAGCTGCCCCATACAAAATTGGGCCTGGGTGGCCCAATTGGTCTTTGGCCTGGTATTATTCTCCATGACGTCACTCCTGTAAGTCTCCAGTGAGCAGTTATTAAGTAATATTCTGAATTGTGACCATCTCCTGCGAATGGATCGAACGCTTTTGTGACTCAGCATTTCAAGCGGCAACGTACTCCATGGCGAGTGGGTGGAATTCCTGGAATGGAGGAAGCCTCATTATGCAGTGTTGCTCTAATAGCTGTGTTTGTGTAGGCAGCCATCTCTGTAGGCGGAGGGGAAGCCAGGAGAACTGAAGGAATTCCACAGCATCCAGCCAAATGTGCTTAGCTCCTCAGGAAAATGAGAGGAAATAGCACCAGCTAAACCCCGGAACAACAAAAGTCTTTGTGGTGTAAATCATACTGTGTGGCGCACTTATGGGTTATTAGGGAACTGTTACCGGACAGTCACCAGCAGTTACTGTGTAATGCCTAGTCATGTAAACGGGATAATGAAGAAATCCAGCTTCAGATAACCATCTGCAGAAACGGTGGCTGATCACGGTGGCTTTGCAGGTCTGGTTCACATGGAAACCTGTAGCTTCTGCCAAACAAGGCAGAGGTTCTCCAGACATGGCTGAGTTATCATGATAGCCAAACTGGGAACTCTGATTTGTCTCTCCTCTGAGAAGCAAACAAGAAGCCTTGGCTGAACAGTCAAGCCTGTCAGGGGAGAGACAAGACAGAGTTCCCACTGCAGAGGTCATGCTAATCGAGCCTGGAAAGGTAAGGTCTGGCTGGTGTGACTGCTCCTGCTGGCAGGAGGAGCCAAGAAGGAGCAATGCAGCTTCATGCACTGGCAGATGGGCTTACTCAGAATTGCTCTGGATTTTTTAAAAAATGTTTTGCTTCATCTGAAATGAGCCATTGCAAGAGTTGGTCTCTTTCTAAGCCAGTGTGGGATGGGGGTCAGAGTGTGGCATTGGGATTTGGGAGGCCCGGATGCTAGTCTCCACTCACCATGAAGCTCACAGGCTAACTTTGGGCTGCTCACTGACAGCCTAACCTGAAAAGGATAAAAAGAGGAGAAGGATGATGTATCCTTGAGGGAAAGATGGAATATTCCTATAACCAAGAATTCGTAAATAACAATAAACATTAGAAAGATCTCTGCCCTAAACCTTCAAACACAATCAGGCGGGCCACCTATTAGGACCCTGTTTTACCTTGTCATGGTTTCATTTTGTAGGTGGATATTTTGATACCACAAACAAAAACCTGCATCATATTGATAGACTGTTTGATACTCCAGCTTCTATCCAGTAACTCAAGGCAGTTTACAGTTGAAAACAGTAGCTTAAAGTGCAATCCTATGGAGCATGCTGGGAGTGGAGACCTTTTCCTGCTTAAATTTTCATCAGTGTGCACCCTAGGTGTCTTAGCAGATAAAGAAGGGAGTGAGGAGGATAGGGAGGGAGGAAGAGAAGCAGCAGTCATGCATGAGTCCTTGTACCATCACATCATGAAGTTACATAATGATTGGAATGACCATTGGAGGACTGAGGTTTTGGGAGAGGAGGAGACAAAACAGCAGGTTCATAAAGGGAGCTTTTGCTGTCACACATCTGCTGAGGCAGGCAGGTAAAATGACTGCAGGTGGAGACACCTCTGGAGGCAAGTGGTCTTTGGCAGGACTAGCAACTGCTCTCTCTTCAGTTCCTTTGGGAGGAAGCTATGAGCAAGAAACACTTTCATCTCTTTCCTGAATTGCTTCCAGTGTCAGGCCATGCTACCATCATGGCTAGGGAATGAAGTGTGGAAGGCACACTAAGATGGGGGAGTCCAGATGCTCATGCTGAGTCCTTACTCTGAGAAGAAATTATTATTATTATTATTATTATTATTATTATTATTATTATTATTATTATTCCCAGTTATATACCACCCAATAGGTGAAGCTCCCTGGGCAGTTAACCACAATTCAATTGAGACTTGGTATGAGGCAACATTTTCTCCCAGGGAATTCCCTGTTGTCATTCTCCATTCCTGGAGAATGGCAACAGGTCTTGCCTAGCAGGTGCCCCCGTGATCCAAGAGGCCTGTTTGCTCTAAGCCAGGAGTGCCATCGTTCTTTCAGCCCAAGACTACATTTCATTTCAAGGCAGGTCTTGGGGCTGAGTCCCAGCAGTGGCCGGGGAAGAAGGCAAAAGGTGGCAGAGTCAAAAATAAGCAACATCTTTCAGAAATCAGGAAACCACCAAACAGTTGGTGGTCAGGGGAAAGGAGATGTGCATCTGGAAGAACCCAATGACTGGATTTGTCCCAGAGCCTGAGGCTTCGCATCCCTACTCTTTTAAGTGCTGGAATACGTATGCCATTCACCCAATCCTCCCTTCCTTTTCCAGAAATCCAGATAAGGGGATCCAGTTCCTGATCTCTCGAGGCTTCATCCCAGACACCCCAATTGGAGTGGCACATTTCCTGTTGCAGCGCAAGGGGCTCAGCCGGCAGATGATTGGGGAGTTCCTGGGAAACAGCAAGAAACAGTTCAATCGAGATGTTCTAGAGTAAGTGGCCTCCTTTTTCCACCCTGTGCTTTTTCCCACTGCGCATTCTTGACATCCTCCTTTGACACTGACCATGCATGATTACTAAGGTGCTTGCACTTTTCTGTAGGAGGGAAAAGCTATCCATAAAACTTGTTTGAATAAATGCATTAAAGAGGGGCTGTGGCTTGTCATGGGGAAGTGGGCAGACCAGAAATTAGGGGATCTGGACTATCCTCTTGTAAAAGCTGACAAGACTTGTACCCTCAAATCCATTGAGAAAGTATCCACTGTTCCCTTTCTGCCCTTTGACTCCACACTAATAAATGACACAATCAGGACTAGTGATTTCACCATATTTTGTAATTAGTCAGATTGCTACTCAAAACGTGTGCATTCATAACTGTCCCCTTTCTAACTCAGCTCTGGATCACTCTCTTACAAATTCATTAATAATTTGAGAAGAGATTGCATTCCTTGGAGTAGATCCAGCTTGCATTTAAACTATTATATTTTGGGGTATGAGTTGCTTGGTTTAACCCTTTGCTTTCAGGAGGAAATGTAGCGATGTTCCTTTAACCCTTCATGGAAAGGTTGACATTTGAAATGTTCCACGAACCAACCATGTTCAGAGAAACAGCCAGATAGGTTGCAAGCACTTTTGTATATCAACTTCTATCTCTCTCCATATGCCCATTGCCAAAAGCAAGTAAAGATTACATAGGAACCAACATGAAAACAACCAATGAGGAAGAGGTTTTGCCTGAGAACATGATGCTCTACATACAATTTCAAATTACAGCTCCCAAGATGCAGTTTAGCATTGTCCATGTGCAAAAACTCGTATTCAGAGAATGAGATCTCAGAGTACAGAAGAAGCATCATTTGCAATTACACAGCTGAACTCATTACTTTCTGAGGAAATGCATTATTTCTGGGCTTTATTACTCAGCTCTTGTGGTTCCATGAAGGAAAGGCACTTTTGATTATTGGTAATTGAAATAAATAAGAGTAGAAATAGACTGGAGTAGAACTAGTGGAATAGAAATAAACAAGAACACATTCCTACGTGACAAATTCTTGCAGCGGGGAGCGCTCTGTAAGTGAGCACTACTTGTGGGAATTTTAGCTTTAACAACTGGCCAGGGAGCCATGGAACGTGTGGCTCTGAACAGGTTCTGTCTTTTAAATGCATTTTTTATAAATGGCAACAGGGAATGAGAAATTAGCAAATCTCAGTCCAGGAATTCTGTTTTCCATTGTGGATTTTGCAGTTTTGAGGATGGCTAAACAGTTTGCCATTCTTGGGCATACCAGCTTCACTTGTGGCTGAAGCTCCCCCTTGAAATAGGTTTTGCTGCTCCCCCACCCAGTATTGCATTGCTTATTTGTACTGCCCTTTGTATATTTTTCTGCTGCATCTGGCAGACAGTAAATGTTCCATCTTTTTATAGAGAAGCTTGGACTCAGACCTTGATTTGCACTGTTACAAATTAGAGAACCCCAAACCAAATTACTCCTGAACTCTCATGTGATTATCACAGCAGGTTCCAATAAATAGATGCCTTAATTTTAAGTTTGGGTTAAGTTCCTTGCAACTGGAGAACTAAATATTGATCCTCCCTTTTGTGCATGTGTGTTTAATATACTGTATGCATATTGATCTGGATCAAGCAAAGGGATGTCTTTCCTCCAATGTTTTCCTGCCGAGCACCACAATTACAAGTAACTAGGGCAGAAGCAATAAAGATTGCTGAGGTAAAGGGAGGGCTGCATGCATGCAACCATGTCTGAAGCAAAGGAGAAACAACTCTTGCCAACCAACTAGGGGAGCAAGGGCTGCTTGGGGGTTGCTCCCCTTGCTTCCCCAGATGAGCCTTCAGCAGGGAAAGCCCAGCCTGGTTCCAGCTGTCAGCCAAGAAGAAGCTTTTGGTAGATGGAACTGGAAAGCTTAATCTGCCTTTCCTCCCCCTTCAAAATAAGAACGTCTTGTTGCTCTGTGGCTGCTAAACCAAGAAGAAGGATCCTCTGTCCTGAGGAGCATGGGCCAGTGCCATAAACATGGAGAAAATCCGGTGGACTCCAGTTGGCTGTAAATTTCTGTTTAAAGCTGTTTTGTCAAACTGATCTCTGCTTTTTCCCTCCACTCACCTTCCCTTCTGTCTGTCTATTATAAGTCCAAGGGGCGGGCCCTGTGTATGGTGGTGGTGAAGACAGTAAAAGAAGTGTGTCTAAAAGAACTGTGCTGACTGTCCGTCAGCACCATAGCTCCAAGTCCATGACATCTAGACACCCGAAACTTGGCATGCATGCTGAGGGGACTCTTGGACAAGCACTTCAGATATATTCAATGCAATTGATCCAAATGTGTTCTGGTGGTCGAAGGATGCAACATCTGCAACCATTGGGAAGGACTTCCCTAGGCCACACAACTTTCGAATTCATTTTGAAGTCAGTGGGGATTAAGAGACTGAGGGACGGACCCTCTCCTTCAGGGTTCTGTAAGCTCCGCCATGGCAGGGGCCATGCCTAAGGGTGCCAGTCAACATGGCTTCACTTGCACGGAGTCAGTCCAATGTGTCCAACTCATCTTTGCTGGATTAAACTAGGGGCTGTTTCAAACCATGCAAAGACGGGCCCAAATTATAACTACAACAATGATGCAAGAATACTTGGCTCAGCTCAGTTTCTCAGGCCTGCCTGGGGATTGTGGGAGGGGGCAAAGTCTGAGTTTCAGATAACCAAGTTGATATGAAGTTGAGTTCATTTTGCTCACTGTGAACCCAGGACTTTCCTGAGTTTGGGAATTCAACTGTCCCTTGCCTTCCTCTCTCTCTCTCTCTCTCTCTCTCTCTCTCTCTCTCTCTCTCTCACACACACACACACACACACACACACACACACACACAGCTCATTCTTCTTTGTGAGGAGAGTGAGCAGAGAGCGCCAAATCCATCACAGCTCCAGGGAGTGAAGGACATGGCACGCTAGCTCCAGCCACCCTGCATGTGGAAACATCTCCCCCTCCTTTGAGGATGCATTCACTCTTCCCAGTAAGGCTTCCCCAGCCCAAGACCACTGCAAGAGAGATCCCAGGGGTTCCCAGGGGTTCAGGTGCAGGCTGCGCCTGATTGCAAGCAAAACTGCTGCTGTGATCAAAATCTCACAAAAGGAAAGAAGAGTGTCTGTCCCGAGCTGTGGACATCCAGATCAACCCTCCCCAACCTGGCACACTCCAGATATTTTGGACTATGACTCCCTGGATCTACAACCGGGAGCTGTCGTTCCCACACATCTGGAGGGCACTAGGGTGGGGATGGTTACAGTAGATGAATGATCCTCATGCCACGTGGTTTTCTCTCTGTTACAGCGACCAGCCCCTTCAAAGGACTGGCTGTTTGTCTGGCCAGGCAGTTTCCCTGTGCTGGAAGCAAGACGTGCAAATTGCAGATGAACAGCTATAAAGCACACCATGGTGGCCGGTTCTCTTGCCCACTTAAACACACATGTGCACACTTACTGTGTGATTCACTGTAATTACAGATTGTCCTTCCTGTGTCTGCCTAGGTTTTGCCTCCCCTGAACATCACCTGAAAGCGTTACGTGGGAGTGAGAACTGCACACTGGCAGTCGTGTTCCTAGCACTGCCTTGTTAAATTAATCAAACCCAAGCGATGAATAATAGAATACTTTTTATAGAAACAGTGAAATTCTCCATCCTGTGTCCCATAGGAAGAGAGCGCTGCAGCCACCCTAAGTCATGGTTTAGGTCTGATGTTGTAATGTCTCAAACACATCCCAACTGGCTTTGGACATGACTCAGTAACTCACTGTCCTTGCACCTACCAGGCACCCTGCTCTGCCTGATTCTGATTGCATTTCTTTTTAGTTTATTTTTTAAAAAACTTGCAGGCAGAAATGCCTGGTTTACCTTCTCTGTGGTTTAGTGCTGCCTCTGCAGTGGAGAAAGCCTTGGTGAATAGTGCCAGGTTTTGCCAACTTTTTGTTGCAATGGGAGACCTAGTTCTTATGAACAATAGTTAGTTGTAATCCTAAAACTCAAGAAAATGGCAGGGGAATACCTACTGGAGAAGGAAGGAGGAGGAGACATTCCTGCCACGCTTCTTACCACAATTAAGAGATCAGCAGCATTTTATCTGCTTCTCTCTCTCATTCTTGCTCACTTCCCTTCCCTTCAGCCTCCCAGATGTCCTTACATGCCGTTATTTTGCTCTCGTCCATCTATTTTGCCCTGTTTCGGTTCACCTTTTGTTCCTTCCATTCCGTCCCGAGAATGCCCTGCTCCCCTGGTTTATTCATAAGCTCTGCTATGTAAGCAGCAGTGGGTAGCTTGCGCTACTCCGAGAGCTGGCAGCAAACACCAGGGGTGGGCTGCTTGTTCTGCAGGTCGAAGGATTCTGGGAAGGTCAGACAAAACTGTCTTCTTCAATCGCTTTTCAAACTAGAGGTTATTTTTCTGAGCATAAGAGGCATTCTGGTGAATGGGAGCAAGCTGCTTGTTAGATTGGGGGCACTATTTTCTTATGCATTTTCCTGCAGGGTGAGCTGGTCTCCTGGCTGTCCAGCATTTGCAACTCCTTGAGCTTTGCTGAGAAAATGGTTGAAAGCAGATTCCAGAATGCAGGCATGTGATGCTGCCTCTTCTGGGCAGTGTGTAGGATTTTTATGAAGGAGGGGCATGGGCATGGGTCAAGTTCATGTTCAGGAGCAGACCGTGCTGTTCCCAAAGCCTCATGAGCACAATGACGGGACATGGCTTGGCTTCCCCTTGCAATCTCATGTGGAATCAGATCACTGGCCCAATGCTGTATACACCAGGAAAGGGCAACCTGCTTCGGCTGGAGGGCAAATTCAGCTTTTGAGACAATCTCAGGGAGGCGTGTTCCAGTGATGGGTGAAGTCAAAGGCTAGAGGGGTGGGAGAATTAAACAATGCACAAGGCTCCAGTGACATGACTGCCATGTTTCTGTCTTTTATGTAGTCCCCCCTTGCCCATTTTA